CATAATTAATTCAATGTCATTTCCCGTACTTTACAGCCTCAGTATAAAAATGGTAGAAAATACTGCATTTTGAAATTCACAGAATTCAATTTAAAATCATGCCGAAATAATCTTAATTCGATTTATATATTTTTTTAATATAATGCTTACTGAATATATTTTTCTTGAATTAGAGAAACCTGTAGTCACCTTTCATTTAATAGATCTTGACTTTAATTAAGTTGACAAATCCAAGACTATCTTGTGTGATGAAATATTGCCATGTATACAACTTACTGCAATAATGTAAATGGTATGTAACTATTTTAAAGGAATGCAAAAATCCTTTTTAAAAAATCGTCAGTTGCCAACTTTATAGTGTAATATCTTGAAGAAATGTGTCTAAGTCAAAGATGTACGTGTTGTAGATTGTGTGTACATTTTGTGATATCTATCATGAAAAGATGTGCATTCCTTTTCATAATTATTTGTTACTTATTCATATTCTTGGAGTTTTATTACAATTTCTCTATTAAATATGATCTTTTAAATTAAAAGCACATTTTTTATAAACATTTTTAATCTGAAAGTAGCCCCAAACAGTCAATTAATAATAAAATCCGTGTAAGTGCAGAAAGGTCAAGAATATTAATATCGGTAAATAATCTCTCATTAGTTAGAGGGGAAAGGTATATATTTTAATCACTTTTTGTAATCATTTGGGTATGTTCTTTATCATATTAAAGATTGAAAACATTGTGACAAAGACTTCTGAAAAATATTTACAAATGTAGGGTCGAAAATTGACCGAAAATAAATAGAGTTCATTTGCCTATAGTTTTGAAAATGTGGCCTTATCTTTTATGTCAATTGAATAAAAAAGAATTTATTCTCGGGAAATATTTTTTAATACTGTTCAATTAATAAACAATAAAAACAACGATGTTAAATGTTTAAAGAAGTAATTTTGGGATTTTTTTGTCTTCTTTGCATGACAAATACCCCTAAAATGACTGAAATTGTGAAGTCGTAATATGTATTTATCCTTCCATGTTTAACTGGCTACACTACATTTAATAACAAGGAAACCTGTCATGTGCTTTTAACTGATTGATAAGCAAGTGCTAATTTATCATTGTGAAAAGTTTGAAAATCTTGTGACAAAGACTTCTCCGACATAGGTTCTACCTTAACATGGCATTGATTTATTAATGGAGACTACTTTTTTGAGTGCAAGTTTTTAAAGATTCATATGTGCCTTTAAATTTACACAAAGATCCGTGATCAGGAGGTCATGAGTTGCCACTAACCTAAGTCGATAAAAAATGGATAGCAACTGTTCCTAAGCCATGCGCTCGGCACTTTGAAGTAAAAGTTGCGGGTCTTTCGGATTAGACCTTTAAAAAAACCGAGGCCCCGTGTCAGCGGCAGGCGTTGGCCCGATAAAGATCCCTTACTGCTCAATGGCCCTAAGTGCCGAGTAAAGATCAAATAATTTACTTCGTTTTAGAAATTTTTGGTTCATATATCTTCTTAAGTTCACGGGATATACCGTTTCGACATAAGGATGAAAAAAACTATATTTAATTGATAGTACGTCGTCGATATATTTAAATTACGAGATGAAGTCGAGGGGAAATTAAAATTAAATATGTTAAATCTGTTTAAGACACACATTTTGCTTTATATATGACCACAAAAATAGATCCCTCAATGACGGGGCACAATTGGTATCCATTAATTCCAACAGATTGGTGGAAGGTCTGGAAAACCAGTAGATATTGAAAATCAGATATTCAAGCCCTTTTTAATGTCAACTTCCGAGTACTTGTGTGAACAATCAGAATTATTTTCCCAAAATAAAATTGCAAATGACCAATGACAAGGTAAGTTAAATTTATATCAAAATCCCTGGATTTACTAGAATAAATAACTTGTCGTAGGAAATAGTTTTGTCGTATAGAGTAGAACGTCGCAAGTTTTTAAGCTATTGATTTGTATAAAATCTTGTGATTTCAACTTTTCCTCTTGAAAATGGAACAATGAGTATCAGTTCTTTCTTGGTTCCCTGTATTTAGGACCTCTGTTAATTTTATTCATTTATTTTTCTAGGGTAGGGGGGTGTACAGGCTCTTCTTCATGTCGAACATTGGTTGTTGTTTGCATTAAGGTCAAACGAGACGTTCCTTAATATCTGTTTTGTATATCTTCGTAATGTATGTAAAATATCAAAAATTTCGAAAGCATTCAGATTTTTAGACCAGTTTCTAAACGTTTTTAAAAGACCCAAACACTTACACATTTGAAATTGGAAAAAAAAAATTCTTCCTTAAAGGATTATATAAGAAAAAACTACCCCCGGTATCTTGCAGAAATACCTGGTAAGGTACATGTACCTCAATCGTTTGTGACTAAACATGTTTAAGTAGCAATACTTCAATGACAAACTAGATAATTTTATCTATTATTAAAAAAAACGTAACGTCCGTCTTTAAATGTATAATAAATATGAGTTTAGAAATTTAGCTCTAATGTGATATGCACGGTCATTCGCGTAAAAATGATTTGGTAAAATTACAAGTATCTTTATGCCCTGGCTGGCATTTTGCTCGGGTCACCTACTGTGAAATGAGAATATTTGGTGCACTACTAATTTAAGCTCCTTTGGCGCAAGAGCCCCAGAGCCCTAAATTTTATTGTGCGCTTAAGGATTTCAAAATTAATTTTTGTTTGTGTGTTTAAAGCTTTTACATAAGTACATGTAAACCGTAAAGCGCGATTAAGTTAAGTCGAAGGGTCATTGGAATTTGTATACACACTAGTACATACTGCACATAATCGGAAGACAGAAAGTTCTGCCAAATTATAATTTAATTTAACTATTGTTACCCCAGTAGTTGTTAAATGATTATTATCATTAGCATCTTCAAAGTTTGGCTTTTCGTCGAGTCAATCATCTATCGCCCCGAGGTAAACAATGCAATCAAGCATGGCGATTGAGCTTGCAGACAATGCCTGATTAGGATTACCATTTTATCAAAGTAATTTTCTGTCGGTACATGCAATGTTTTATTATGATTTTAAATGAGTTAATACTCCATTTCTTTTAAAAGATAATTGAAATTTAACATTGTGCCACGTTTTTAATACGTTTTTAACTTGCACAAAGAGTAAGATCTCTAGAATGGTTGCCTGTATCCTTCTATTTATTATTTGAGACTCTTTTTTTTAAATCGAAAATTGTTTGAAATAAAAAAAAATCAGGCGGTACTCAAAATATTCTTGTTGAGTGGTTTGTGCGTCAAAATATAATGGATATAACCTTTTTTCCATAACCTTTTATGCTGCATCAGTCACCATTGTGCATATGCGTTTTGCCATGTTGTAGGGAAAATTTGATTTAGTGTGCGATTATTGATATGCATGAAAATCCAGATATTGGTACAAATCACTTTTGAAAAGGTCGGCATTTGTTTTGGCATCATTCTTAATTGAAGAAGGTCCAAAAATAGTAGCTGGCTGTCGCTTAACTCCAAAGTAGAGTGAAATGAGTCATGTAATTGGTTATTTACCCTCAGGCTGTACACTTTTTGTAAAGAGTCTACATTTTTATTTAAAAAAAATAAAATATCAACGTATGTCTTGGCGAATATATATGCTAAATGGAATAAAGGTCATATTTTAGCCCAAGATGAAAATGAATTATGTTTAAAAATGTTTTATTCAATTTATAACAATTTAAAATAATTTGTATAATATAATTGTTTATCCAAAATATTTTTCGGATCGAAAAAGTAAAAGTTAAAAAGGGGTCACAATGCAAAAGGACTTAATATATACAAAACCACTGCAAGGTTAATTTTGATGTGGTCTAGTTATTATGGTTTAATATACCAACAGCTAAAAAGTTATATGGAAAATAAACTAGACAAAATTGCTAACGCACCAACTAAGAGAATTAATATTTTACATTTTGAACTGTTTATGATGCATTTGATATATAAGTATGTTACTTTAACAAAAGAAGGCATTTTAATATCAACCTTATAAATAACTACAATGTTTTTGAAGTGTGACCAATTCATAGGATATTCTATTCCATTTTTGATATATTTTTTTTAAATTTGTATTTTCCATTTATAATAATTAAAAAAAAAAGTTACACCGTATGCGGCGTTTGACGCTAGAAGAGCGTGCAAAATCAGACAGGATGGCGTCAGCAGGGGGGTTCCTTTAGAAAAATCTGTAAAACAAAAAAAACAATAAAAAGTTTAGAAATTCCACCCATGAAAAATTGTTCCAAATAGATTCAGAGACGTCAAAATGTTTACCATATATAATCACGGCATCAAGTAAATTACTGAAAACAATAAGTTGAAAATTATTCCACCAAACTGGGTCAACTGCAAGCGGAGTGACTCGGTTTTGTATGAACACTAAGGTATCAATTGATTACTAGGAGATATGAGAGTCAATGACTGTTTGTAATTTGATTTTTAACTGGGAAACTACTCCTGTGGCAATCTCACAGACCCTTCGTGTGATCAAGAATTTCATATCTGTGCAAAATTGCTGCGCAATGCACAGCTAGAAAGAAGGTCATTCAAGGATTTTTCATAACGCCAAGACATTTTTCAATCCAACTGCTTTTGAAATAATGGCATATCATATATACAATCGAACCGATTCGGCAAATGTTCAATTCACAAACAAAAATTTAACAAGTGGTGCTTTAGCAATCTTGTCTAGTGTACTTCAGTCTTAATGGTATTTGATTCACAAAAGCCTTATGTTAAAACATGTTTAAAATCATAAGAAACACAGGTTATATCTTTTTTTTATAAATTTCTTTTTGTTACAGATGTTTGAATACATTGTACGACTTGGAACGCTCATAATCAAAATGCGCTCGGCAGGTTGCATACTGTTTGACTTTCTAAACTTTGAATTCCATTGCGGAAAACGAACAGGCAACTGCGTGATTATCAAATCAGCGTTAAGTTCTGTTGAAGATATTTCGTGTAGAAATACTGCCAGAGAGACTGGAATGGACAGAGATCTTTCTGAGTACCTCAAAATTATTGTCGAAGTGATGGAGAGTTCATACAAAAAGTGGAAATCCTTGATAAAAGAAAACAGAGAAAAATACCATGACTTAAACGCGTTTACTGTGGAACAATTAATGATCCTTCAAGTAGAAATTGCAAAATTTATGCACGAGCAAACATCTTCAAATTCGTTCTTGTTTCATTTGCTGCATTTTGTAAAGAAAGATTGTACCGAAAATGACTTAAGAAATGCATTACAAGAGGCACGAGAAGACATTTTCAAAATGGAAAATAAGACTGAAACGTCACAAGAACCTTGTGATACTGGAAGAAAGGACGAACAATATTGGAAAGATGTTGATGCATTCCTAAAACTTGCGGAACAGAAGAAATTTTCCCGTAAACTTGCTTTATATGGAATTCAGATCAACGAAATTAATGTGAGACAGCCTAAAGAAGGTATTATTAGTCACTAAATAATTCAAATTGAAGTATTTTTATCACTTTGATCTGATGGATATCTATTTAAAGTTATACTATTCAGTTACAAATAAAATACTGTATACATTACAAACATTTCGCCATAGCATACTTACAAACATTTAAGCTCTATTTTAAATTCGCCTAATCCGAGTTTTGTTTAAAAAGATATACTGTATTTTTTCAAGTTTTTGAAAAGGAGTTAATGAAGAAAAGGCAAAACTAGAGACAAATTTTTGAAAGAAAATATCCTCAAAAATTTCTGGGACAGAAAAGAAGACATTTTGGGGACCTCATTGGTGAATTTTAGTTTCTTTATTGTAAAAATTGCACAAAAGAGGAACGCATTTTTACACCAAAATTCGTTTATTCATTTATTTTTTTTCAAAAAGCAGGTCAGAAAAGTGATTCAATACTCAAAAGCATGCTCTACGCATGAACAATTTCTTAAACGAGGTAGATTATTGACAAGCAAGTTGACGAAACAAGAATATCAGCAGTCTCGCCTAAAGTCATCATTTCGAAAGTCCTATGGTCGGTAAAATGACCTTGTCAGCAAATACAATTTATCATTGAGTCAAATGCTGACTGACATTTTTATACCAATTGTTAGTCCATTATTTATACACTGAACTGACGATGGACTTTTCCGTTATGTCTTGATCATGACAGGGAGCACACGGCGGGTGTGACCGGTAAGCAGGGGATGCTCACTCCTCCATAGCACCTGATCCAACCTCTGATGTTTCGGGGGTTTGGATTTGCTTTGCTCTTATTTTGTATTGTTTTATGGACTTTTAAATTGAATACTTGTCGTTATCTCCAGATCCTTCTTCAGTGGAACTTGCCTAAGGAAGTTGAAATTGAATCAGCCATGACTCTCACTAGGTTAAGGTTGGACCAAAATATCAAAAAAGTAGACGAAAGTCTAACATTGAAATGCATATAGAAAACTTTAAAGTCTTCTTTTAAGTACATGAGTTGTTGTACATGTATGTATGTACAAGGTTCTCCATCATTTGAGATTTTACTGTGTTGCAGAGTTTATGCGAAGCACTAATAATTCGCGGTATTTTTGCGAACAAATTCGCAACTGAATCACAATTAATAATACAAATAACAATAACTACAAAATATTACAAGCACACACTTAATTAAAAATCGCTAATTCGTGACACAAATGGCAGGGTCGTACATACTGTTAAAAAGGAAAAAAAAAGTTCTGAAAATCAGAGGAAATTCTGACCGATCGTCGAACTACTTAACATTTTTGAAAGTAGATTTGCCATGTTTTTTATCAGGTTTCTGTCGAGTTACAGCATTCAAAGAAAGGAACTTCAGAACAGTAGAATATTTTTAAGAGTTCCTCGAACATTCTGAAATTTCAAAATTTTGGGCAATTTATTTGCATCAATTAAATGACTTCGTTTTGATGTTATGTTTGACTAACAGTGCTTACATAATTCTAGAGCCGTGGTTCTATAGGAAAGACACATTAATTTTTCAAAAATAATTCAATGTATTTTATTGCAACTACCAATTAACCGGTACATTGAATTGTGAAAACAATTTAGTTGTCTTTGTTCCTTCATGTGTAAAGTCCGGCGATGGTGTAGGAGATGATTGATTACTCAAGGCGAAGCCCTAGTAATTAAGTGTTAAAATTTTTTGAATTGAAAGACGGTCGAATTGTTTGATTTAAGTTTCATTTAGAAAGAATCTGTGTGTTTAGATTTTCTAATTATCACGACTCTTACTGTGTCGGCAAAATTTTTACTGTGTCGCATGCATGAAATTTGAATCGTTACTGTGTCGGAGAAAACGTTACTGTGTCGGGAGTAACACAGTAAAACAGCTCATGGAGAACCCCGTATGTACAATAATTCTCGAATAGTATGGAGACAAACTTGTTTAAATAATAAATTCAGGTGAAACGGTAGGGCCAGAAAATCAATGTTTCACGTTGAAAGAAACAGCATCACATACAGTAGTTTGGAGAAGATTTGGGGATATGTTTAGTTTATACCCCTTTTTTGTCTGTTTTTTTTTTTTTTTTTTTTTTTTCAAAAAATATAACCTTGTCCATAACTTTAGATTTGTTGAAGCTTAGGCTTTCACGTATAAATTGTGTATTTCTCTGACAAGCTTTTCCTGAGATATATTCATATTTTACCTTTAAACCTTGACCTAGGAGTTTGCAGCTTCTTACAAATTTCAACCTTGGCAATCAATTTTGAACAGCAGGTGCTGAGGCTTTTAAAAGTCAAATGTGCATAATTGTGACTTAAAATATCGCGAACTAAATAAGTGGGGTGATCAAAAAGTTCGTGAACTATCGTTATATCTACAAAACCACATTATATTGGAATGAAATTCGCTACACATATAGCCATACACAAGGTCTATAAATAGCATATGCTGAATGAAATTTTTCCCATTGTTTGTGACGTCACAATGTGAAAATGACGTCACTATGCTGGTCACTTGTGACGAAAAATTGTTGTCTCAGTCGAACTCGTTCAACAAATGTCTGTACAATTTATTGTATATCTTAAGAATCCCTCTGCAGTATCATATAATAATAATTTGCACACAGTTTATAAAGATAAATGAGTTCCTATAAAGTAAAGTAATGATTGGATTGATCGTTTAAGTGAAGGAAGGCAGATGGTAAAATATGATACTTGTCACTTTGCTCAGTGAAAGTAAGTTTGAAAAGATATGTGTTTTTAATTAAGCAATTTGCTATCAAAGACCTCGAATTTACACTTTGAAATATAGTTGAATATTGAAACAATGATATAATTATTAAATACCTGAAATATCGCTTACTTAAGATTTTAAACATATTCTTATAGATGATAAAAAGGAGGCACCCATTCTCTATCCACCTTGAATAAAGGTCTCTCCCGAGACAGAATATTTGTATTTTAATGGTTGCCATGCTTATTTGGGGAAAGAATATTTTTATCCACCCATTCTGTTGCCGAGATTTGACCATTTCTTACAAATGAATAGTTCTTGTCATAAAAATTAACTCACCTGGAAAGAAATATCAAACTCAGAAAAATCTTTCAACTTTTGTGAAAGAATGCTCCGGAGGGGGTCAAGTGACAACCAATATCACGTGATTTGCGCATGCGAAGAACGGTGGTAAATGTGCATTAAAATTGCAGAGGACTCACAGATATAATCAACATTGAAACCAATATTGTTTCTTTTATGGAAGTTATTCAATTAGTTCGCGAACTTTTTGATCACCCCTCTTCGAAACAAATCGTCCAAAACACTCCTCTCAGGTACAACATATAGTTATGAATAGCCATATTTGTATGCAGTCCTCTTCAGGTAGTGAAAATTCAAGTCACGACCGATTGGGGTAGAACTGGGCCAAACAGTTCAAACTTGTAGAGAAAACACAGTAGTCGAAGCAATTATTCGTAGTTAATGTTAATTCAGGGTTTGAATTTAATTCACCCACCCTTCTTTCTGGATTTCATTTTATACTAATAATACAATAATGTGTGTGAGAGAGGGTGTGTGAGGGTGTGTGAGTGTGTGTGCGTGTTTATGTATATGTCGTAATTTACTTTAAATGTGCATATTATTCCGGGAAAAATAAGATGTCAGATTTTATATGCGATTTAAAACTGAACTGCATATAATGAGCATCCATTTCATAAATAGTCTGAAGCCACTTTGGAAAAACTAAAGAGAATTCAATTATCATTTCAAGGACTGAAATGGTGTTTACGTAACTCAAAAAAGTATGAAGCAATCATCCCAACAACAACTGAAGAAAGACCAGTCCGTCAAACTCTAAATGCTTTTGCGGAGGAAATCGAGAAAGAACTAAGGTAACGTTAAATATTTTATATCAATATAATAAGTGTTTTGATAACCAGTCGTCATCCAGACTGCTTTTTTGTCCACAATCCTCTTTAAACTAATTCACAATTCAATGACATCAAAAGTCAGTAAAACAGGCTTCATGTTTTGCCACCTTAGTGACAGGATTGAGAACTATCTTTAAGCAATCACTTAATAGTGGCTTAAAGACGACTTAATGGTACATAACAGGACATTATTCCTTTAAGACACCATTAAGTCACCATTAAGGTGCAGCTCTTATAGACGCTTTATGTCCAAAATTCAGTAAGCTGCAGCTTTTGTTAAAGAGTTGTTGTAATTATAGATAATAATTACTTTCATTACACAGTGTATAGGTTATAACCCAACAATCCTCCGTTAAAAAGCCAGTGTCAAAATTACTGTATCTTACTTCTATTCTGAATGACGCCACGGTGTAGTGTAGGACATTTGATCGGCATCGGAAGCAAGTTTATTTGATTTGCCTAGATAGCCGAGGAGTCTAGCGCGCTGTTCCTGTACAGCTAGGAGACAGATTCCGAAGGTGTTCAGTTCAACCTCGGGCTGGGGCGGAAGTGGGTATCCATATAAAAGTGAATTTCTTTGTGCTTTCTAAATTAATCTTCACTTAGGGCAGTTATGTAAAGTTTAAGAGTTATTGTAAAATGTGCTTTATAAATAATAATCAATTTCATTACAACGTGTACAGTGGCTGGAACGTTATTGTTGACAAACCAATCGTGTAGAATCGTTCGTGTATCGTGAGTGATCGTTCGTGTAACGTGCAAGATCGTTCGTGTATCAGACTCAATCGTGTGCGTTTTTAATCGTGCGAGATGGTGCGTTTAGAATCGTGTAAATTTCGTTTTGTTAGTTTTTATCGGAATGTTATTTGTAAAATAAGCATTTCCTTTGCTTGTTTTTCTTAATTTATTAATTAAAATCCAAATAAAATGAAAAAGCGCAATTTACATAATAGAATGCAGAACGAACTAATTATTGCCCGTAAACAAGCAATATAGTAAGTCGTACAATTTTAAGTTCTCGTCAAAAAGCGCGATCAATATTGTGATAAACTATACTTAGATCTTTAACGCCTTTTTGGAAAAATTTGATTTTAATTATTATTTACTTCTTATTGTGGTCAAGATAATCTTGAAATCAATTCATTGAAGATAAATATATAATTATATTTTTTTTACAAAGAAATAAACATTTCTCAATGCTTACATAACTAGTTAGTCGACAAATATATATGGACACGGCATGATTTTCGGGAGTTTTGATTATCTGTGTTTATCTCTTGAGCCTATTTGTAATTAATTAATTTTAAATTTCTGCAAATAAAAAAGTTGAATAATTGGCAAGTTTATCAGACATTGAATAATTGGAAACATAAGGATAAAATTTGTAATTATAATTTAAGTAATTCCATGCTGCCATTTTTGTTCAATCGTATCCCCCTTTCTGCATATCATGATATCCAATTCAATCAAATTATACGACCCACATACATGTACATCGTCCAATAGAATGAACAAATCCGGTTTTTTTTATCGGAGAATTACCTTACAAATAATTATTTTTAATCTAAAATATTAAGTCTTGCATATATTTAGTTACAGAAATATCATTTTCCGTTTTTTTCTTCAAAGTCTATGAAATAATATTGATAATTCTTTGATATCTTCAATAAGTATTTAGCCGTATTTCGTTTTGAAAATAATGATTCCTAAATATTTTGAACTATTTTGAGTGAAGAATCGTGCGTTTGCGTTAACAATCGTGTAAGATCGTGTAACGTGTAGAATCGTGAACGTGAAAGATCGTTCGTGTAACAGGTTTAATCGTGCATTAATCGTGCGGAATCGTTCGTGTAACGTGATCGTTCGTGTAAGTTGTCAACAATAACGTTCCAGGCACTGTATTGGTTACAATCCTCTGTACTGCTAGGAGACAGATTCCGAAGGTCGAGAGTTCAGCCCCGGGCTGGGGCAGAAGTGGGTATCGATATAAAATTGAATTTCTTTGTGCTTTATATATTTAAAATTCTTCACTCCTTACAATCCCCTGTACTGCTAGGAGACAATATATATGTAGGACTCCAAATTGCGATGGGATTCCAAAGTCCGATGGTCACGCTAAAGTCCAATGGTCTGCGCCAATCCCCTGACACGCCAAAGTCCGATGGAGCGGAAAAAATAACGTTTATGACGTCATAGTTCTACTGCGCAAAAATGCAATGCCGCGCCATGCCAAGGCCCAATCGTTTGAAATAAATAAAAATAAATCTTAAATGTAAAGAATAACTATAATCGTTTGGATATAGGTGCGAGATTAACACTTATCATTCAAAAAATGTGTTACAACTTTAATCTAGGCATCTCGAATCGGTGCAGGACTTCCCCAACTCAGTCCATTACTGTGCGAGGACTATTCAAAAGATCTCTACTTTGAATTACACAATGGTGTTCAAGAACTATACTTTAACCCTTATTAGTCAACCCCTAAAAGCTGTGGTGGGCGAAAACAATCAGCAAAATAAGTAAAATTGTATGAGAGACAGATGCTAAATCAATGATTTTTGAAAGCAGGAGGTCATGACGTTGGACTATTACAAGTCTCTTTTTGTGTGTAATGAGTATTTGTTTGTTTTCAGAAATCAAACAATGAAAAACGTAAAGGAATCTTTAGAGAATGTTTGGATCAAATTTGCTACATCATCAAGTGCCTCAGATTATTTGAGTGTGAACGACCTTGGACTAATTTTGTTAAAGTTAAAACTCAAAGGTAAATCAAATTTAAAAGTGTACAACATTTGAAACTCATCCATTACTTTCTAAATGAACGTTGATGTTAGTGCATATTAAAGGTGTTCTCTTTCTTTTTTTTTTGAAGATTTTCGTGAAGTTTCTGGTTCTTTGCATTACAAATTTACATACGTTTGATGCAGTGACAGTAAAAATGCTGTTAAAAAAAGCCAACTTTTACAAATTATGTATGATTTTAGATGCGGAAACCAAAAAACCTAGACTTTTACAAGATCCTTTACAAAGAGGCAAGCCCAATCTGATTGTTTGCAGAAAAGGTTTGTCGATTTTTGTTTCCATGAAAGCTATAAATTCTCATCGAATTTTTGCAATTCCATTAGTTATGTAAAGCTAGCAAGTTTATGCCTCAGACTGAAGGTACAATGAAAGTAGTTTCGAAACAAACTTAGGCTTCTTTATTTTCAGACATTTCACATGTTTTGTTGATCATGGTCTTTTTAATGTTACATAACAGTATACAATTCTGATAGAATAAAAATATTCTTTCAAAAAAAAAAAGCGACTTGAGTAGGTGGTACATGTATTACTAGTAATTGAAAGCAACTTTCTGAGAAGTTTCAGATCTTGTTAAACAATAGTTTCTTTAGAAAGATTCAGCATAGCCATCCAGCAAGGCATGAAAGGATATTTTAAAAAAAAATGGGAAAAGTTGGACTGTATATAATGATTGATTTCGTAGGTTTAACTGATGTTGTTTTTCGTCGTCTCGCAGGGGTGATAAGGAAGTATACAGAATATTCTACCTTGACTAAATCAGTGCTACATTATGACGTCATTGTAGGCGAGATGACGTCAATTTTACAACACAAGTTTTCGTAATATTGGTATTTAGAGATGTAATTTAACTCTAGAGAGTAATTAGAAACGTCTAAACATTAACAAAAATAAAATGTTTTTATTCTTTTATTCTATATCAATCATTTTTATCAAAATCTACTATCGATGACCTCATATGTGTACATCAAGTAACTTGGGAATAGATTATGTCGTGTAAAGAGAATTTGGCTGAGAACGGCATGTACAAAGATTCGTTAAATGGGGTTAAAAAGCAGAAATTGTAAAAATAATGTGAAATTCATATGGAGTTAAGTAAATTTAACAGGTATGCTAATTAATTTTCATCGATTATATACTCTTTTGAAGACAGTCAGGTATAAACGTATCCAGGTCGGCCTTTCCTCTGTCATTCCTGGCAAAAATAATGCAGCAGAACAACAATAAGCTGGATATTTCAAAACATGAGATTTAAACAGATCGAAAGTTCGCCCTCTAAAATAATTTGGAAGTGCTGCTAGAATCCCGAGTTAAGCATGGTTTTACGAAATATCTCAGTTCATATGTATAAAATTCAAAACATCGGGTAAGGTTTCGTGCTAATGTGTGGAATAATAATTTTACTGACAGGACAGTGGGATTCTAGCAACACTTTTTATGTTAAATAGATGTTTTCCAACTATATTATTTACTCAAATAATTAAGGTTATTCGATCCTCAGGTTCTGAAAATCAGGCATTGAGTAATTGAAAATGCTCACAAAGATGTCTCTAAATTCTCAAATTAAAATGTATTTACCCACGGTGTTTCTTTAAAATTCATCTTTAAAATCATATGATATAGGGAAAATTAGTAAATCTCGAATAATTTTTCAGGAAATGCGATTTGAACTACCTGCTGCATATTTTTAAATTGATAATTGATCAAGAAATACATTTTAGGAATAAAAATCATAGGTATCCAGGCTTTTAAAGAAAATTGCATGAATTTTATACTTATTTGGACTTTACTTTCTCCTATTTACTTCCATTGTTTCATAATGCACAGTGTATGAACTGTTTCCTTTCAAAGAAACACTGTAAATCACTTCTAATTTTAAATCATGCATATAAAGATTGGTATCTAAGGTTAAATTAAAAGAAAATTGATTTTTCTAAATATACAAGTTTTACTTCATTTTATGAGGTACAAATGTCAACTTATTAAATACCGTTTTTTAAAACTTTAGAGAACATTGAATCATACGTAGAGGCATAAAATGAAAATTGTTGCATGAAAAAATTTCAATTTCAAGCTTTATTTTAAGACTTTTTGAATTAAATTATAAATTACAGAGTTATCCTTCCTGGCTGAGGATCGTATATCCTTAATTGAACTCCGGGTATT